CCCTCAGACCTGGTCCCAGAGGGCCACAGGCTCACAGACGCTCGCCCACCTCAGGGAGGCCAGGGCTCCCTCTCTGCTGTGGTCTTGGAAACCTCATGGCCCCTCAGCTCCCTTGCAAACATCCCTCCTAGCCTGGTTTCAGGGACCTGGATGCCTCCTGGTCCCCAGGGTGGAGAACGGCATGAGAAGGCTGCTTCCCCAGGAGAGATGGCCAGGTTGATGGGATCAGACTCTGAGGAGCTGTGGAACTGTGCTGTGGGGCTGGGGAAGGCCTTTACCACTGTCTTCGCTCACAAAGCATAGCCTGTCCGGGAGGGAGGGAAAGGGAGACACTCCACTCTGGCAACCCACTCCAGTACGCTTGCCTGGAAAATCCCCTGGACAGAGGAGCCTGGCCGGCCACAGTCCATGGGTTCACAAAGAGTCGGACACACACACACACAAACACACACGCGCGCGCGCGCATTCGGCTTACCTGGGCCGCCTGTTGGGCGGGGCCTCACATACCTCACCCTGCTGGTCCCCTGCCTCATTGACTCGACCAAAACATCTGGCGTGGGGTGTATCATTATCCCCAGGAGCCACATAAGGAGCTGGGGCTCAGGAGGGCACCCAGCTGGGGACTCTACTCTGGGGGCATGAGGGGAGATGACCGCAGCCCTTGTCCAGGTACAGCCGGGCAGGGAGCAGGCGCCGGCGGTCACTCCTGCGCACTAACTCTCTTCCTTGGTTGGGCTGTAGATGGCGCAGCAGCATCGGGAGCAGTATCAAGACAAGACAGGCTTGGTGCACCGGGTCCCCTACTTCATGCTGCCCATGAGGGAGTGGGACCGGTACCCCATCCCCACCGACTTGTGAGTGCCTTCCCTCCCCTCCTCCGCGCATTCACCAGCTCGTGTCCACAGGGCGCCGGCTCTTGCCAGGCCTGCAGGCCCCCAGGCTGAGAAACGAGTTAAGACTTTTAACTCCTGCAGCACACAGGGTGACAGTTAAACAGAGCTAGGGCGTGAGCCTCAGGAGGGGAGGCCGGGAATCTGAAAGGGCAGAATCAGAAGATCATCTGCCTGGGCAGATGCACTGGGAATTTGGCCTCATACCGCATCATCCTTGCTGGCCTGAATCTGCAGGACCGGTCCTCTGTGATGGCAGCCTTGGAGCGACACTGGTCCAAACGCGGGCGCAGCCACTCTGTGCGGCAAGGAGCTGCTGCCCTCTGGTGGACCTGTAGAGTACTACACAAAGCAGGGGACTATCTCCAGCCCCGGTGTAGACTCGGAAGAAACGTACTCCTAGGGACTCGACCGTATTTTTCAAAGCCCAACAGTCTATCTAAGAAATGTGAAAGTATCTCACGGTTTTTAATTGGGAGAGCTTCTTTTCCCAGGGAAGGCCAGCTCTGCCCTGTGAGATAACCCAGGCATGTGGTTTCCTTGATCTCCCTCCTGACGCCCAGGCAGGGAGGTCTGAAGTCTGTGCCGTGAGGTGTCCTGTGGAGTAGGGGCCATCGGAAAGTTCGTGGACAGATCCTGGGTTTCCAACTCCATGCTGACCTTTGCTTGCTTCAGGAGCCCCGAATCTAGCCATTGCTGTTACTGATAAAGCAGCAACCCTTTCCATAAAGTTTAATGGTTTTTGAAGATACAATTTAATATCACCTATAGATTCTTCCCAGATGGTGCTAGTGGTAAAGAACCCACTTGCCAATGCAGGAGACGTGAGACACCAGTTTGATCCCTGAATTGGGAAGATCCCTTGGAGGAGGAAATGGCAACCCACTTCAGTATTCTTGCCTGGAGAATCCCATGGACAGCGGGGCCTGGTGGGCTGCAGTCCATGGGGTCACACAGAGTCAGACATGACTGAAGCAGCTTAGCATGCAGAGATTCTTCTCTGTGGGACAGATGGACCCATTTTCTAAATAGGGAAACTGACTTAGTAGTGGCTTCGGGGACTTGTACAGATGGCAAGTCTAGTAGGAGGTAGAACCGGAGGGGACCCAGATGGCCTAACCCCAATGCTAAGATTCTAGATTGGCCATCTCACCACTTTGGGGTGCCTCTGAGTCAGTCCATCCCTGGAGACATTGTGGGGCCTCGCCTGGGGACAAGTCTCCTCTTGAGACCTCACCAGACAGTATCTACATCTCCTACAGCTGAGGGACCCCAGGATGCCCTAGCTCTGTTCCTTCTCCAACTGCCTGACAGCCCATGCTGCTGTTCATGTATAAAACAGAGCACCAATGAGGTGTTTGGGAGTAAGAGGGTCACTGCTTGCACTCAGACTTTACTCTGATCATCTCTGTGGCCTGGGGAACATCCCTGTCCTTCCCTGAGGTTCATTGCTATTTTCCTTTTCACCACTGTCACCACCGTCATCATCTCTGTTTGTCACTATCATCTTCATTACCATGATCATCATCACCACCATCACCATTACAGTCATCTCTATCATCATTATCACCACCACCACCACCATTACCTTTATCATCATCTTCACCACCAGTAGCATCACCTCTACCATCACCATCATAACCATCATCATCATCATCAGTAGCTGCAGCACATTCTTAGAACATGTGTTGAGTGTTTGCTCCTAGTTCAGCATTCTATTAGTGCTTTGCATGCATTATTTCATTTACTCCTCAAAGCAAAGTTAGGAGGGAGGTACCAACATCTGTCCGTCTTACATGTGTACACTTCTAGTAGGAACTGGGTTGGAATCCATCCCAGCTTCCTGACACCCATGCCCTTGCTCTTAACCACTGAGCTTCTGTGCAAACACAAGTCCTTCTGATCTCGAGTGCAGAGTGACTTACCAGATGCTAAGCTGACCAGCAGCCAGCAGAGCCCGCATCACGGGCTGGAAAATGGGCATTTTTTGACCCTGGTGGCCAGGCTCACTGCATAACACTGGCTCCACCCTCATCCCCCAGGCCTCCTCTGAGCCCGAAGGAGAAGTGGCATCTATTAAGAGTGGCCCCTGAGAACCTGAGGACCTACCAGACATTCCCATCGGGAAAGAGGGTCTCCCCACAGGAGCGGCAGAGGCGGGACTGCTACTTTGAATTCAGAGCGTGACACCTGAGAGCCGCGGCCCTGACAAGGTTGGCTTTCTGGAATAAAATCTTTAGCCATGATCATCCCATGCTCTTCTCTTCTGAGCCCCAGCAGCACTTGGCCTCAGCTGGACAGTGCCTGAGGGTCACACAGGATGGGGTCTGAAGGACCTGTGGGATGCTCACCCCAGGTGTCAGCACCAAGAAAAAACAATGTCAGCCCCCTGCTGGGCCCATCCACCTCTCCCCGGAGGTGCAGGGGTCCCGAGGCACTCAGGCAGAGTGAGCCCTCCCGTCTGCTCCCACTGGGATAATCAAGGGTCCTGTTAGGCCATGACTGAGAATGAGGGTGTAGTGGTCCTGGAACACTCACACTGGTGTCAGATGCAAAGGTACTCCCACTTGAGCCCTGGCTCAGCATCCTTTCATTCACATGACAGCCTGTGAGAGAGGGAGTGGTGTCCCTACTTCACTGATAAAGACCCTGGGGCTCAGAGGTGGAGAGAGCTGTCCAAACTCATGCAGCTGGGAAGTGGCACAGCCAGGATTTGAACCCCGACCTTTCAGACTCCCAATTGCTGGTATTCCCCCTACACTTTCCACTTGTGGTCCAAGTGGGGGCTGAGGGGCAGGGATGACGCAGATCCTGGAGGGCCCTGTGGCATCTGAAGGAAGAAACCACTTTCTCCATCCTGCCCTGATGGGCAGGGACAGGCTGCTTTGGCATCACCCCAGGACTGTTTCTAGAAGTGGACAGAGGGGAAAGGACCTGAGGCCAAGTCAATCTTCAAGGTATCGCTGTGTGTCGGGAGCCCCTAGCCCAGAGTGGACACTGGGCTCCTGGTTCACATTCTGAGATGGCTGGGGAGGCTCAGGTTGTGGAGGGTGCTGCTTCCCACCTCCACCTCCTAGGTGGCCTCCTGTCTGCAGGAGAGGTCACAAGAGGCAGAGGACAGCTCCTTTAGAGGCAGGATCTAGGATAGGCACCTTGGGCCAGGCGTGTACCCATGCCTCAGGTGCATGCTGACATCCCAGCACCTCCTGGCTCTGATCAAGGGACTCCATTAAGAAAGGGCTCTTATTTCCCCTCCATGAGTGAAATGGGTTATTTCCCCAAAAGACAAGGCGACCACAGCAGGTTCAGCTTCATGGGAAGGTGAGCACAGCCCTTCCCCTATAAGCCAGTCTTTAGACACCTCCTCCCCGAAGAGAGCGTAAACAAGAAAAAAGAAACAAGAAAAAAGCCCATCAGGTAGGCATCCGACAGCTTTTATGGACCCCCTAAGGGGCTTCTCCTGTGCCCCAAACCAACTGGGTTCCAAAGAGTCCCTGTGGTGGCCACATTAATTCAAGGGTTTGGCTGAGTGGCAAAGCAAATAAACCCTGATTGCTGGTCACATACTGTCGTGTCCCAAGGGTGCAGGGGTCTCAAGTGGGGCCAAGATGTCTAGGGAAGCCAGGCACCAATTGGAAAGACTGCTCAGCACATAGCTCTGTACAGCCTGCACCCGAGATGCAAGAAGAGAGGCTGAAGGGAGTCCCCGTGGAAGTAAGCGAAAGATGTATATTTTCCTGGTGAACTTCAGCTGATTTGGCTTGGTCCCTGCTGTGACATGGGTTGGCCTCAAAAAGACTGGCCATCTCAGTCTTGGCACATCTCAGACACTGGCAAACTTAAGCCCTGGAATGAGCAGTCCTTAATAAAAAGTTACTTCTATATGACCTTGCACTCAAAATATGATGTTCAGTTCAAAATATGATGAACTGTTGGGAAAAGGGAAAGGCTTTAATTTTGCTTTATTGAATAAACAATATTCTAGAAGTGAGGGAGGGATGGGGACACAGTCATTCTTCTAGTCAAATTTCCTCTAGTGCCTGCAGAAGGTTGAATTCCAAGTTCCAGGGGTCCCCTTCAAGGCCACCAGAGCAGGTATTTGTGTTCACATCAACATCCCCAGAAATGAATCCGAAAGGAGCTGAAAGAAGGGATTCCATTAGCCACCTCAAGCCTGAAGTTGTAAAGCCCCCTCTACTTCCTGGCTTCACACCTCTTGTGTCCCTTTGTCTGAACGATGGTCAGCTTGCAGCAATCCAAGCCACCCCACAGCCTTCTTTAAAGCTCCTTTGAGCAGCTCCAGAATGCTAAGGCTGTCACAACCTTGTGGTGCTGGAACCAGCGGAAAGAAAGGGGAGCGATTCAAAGAAAACACTCAAGGCAGACAGGATTCCAGCCTCAGTTGTGTGCTGGGCTGTTATAGAAGAAGAGGATCAAGTGGGGTGGTCCAAGTGTGGACTGTCTTTCTCTAAAAGAGCCCCTGAGCAGCCATGTTGGAAGGGAGGGACATCTCCTCCAGCCAGGTGACTGGAAGAGGGCCAGACACCTGCCTGGCCAATCAGATTCTCTGGAAATTCCGTCAGAGCCGAGGGACATTCACTGAGGGTCATTGGGAGCCAAAGAGCTATAAACTTGACCGCTGTGGGGAGGCCACATTTGGTCTCACGCCTGGCAAAGTAGAGATTGCTGGTTGCACATAAATCAAAGTCCAGAGCTGCTGAGGACAGAGGCAGAGACTCCGGCTCCCAACCGGGTGCTCCATGAGGTTTAGCTGGTTTTGTTCATTTTTGATTGGTTAAAGCATTTTGAATAGGCATTTGCCCTTGCTGTCACCTAGGCTGATGACAGAAACAACAGGCAAACATGTAGTTCAGCGCAAGACTGCCCTAACTGGGCTGGTCCTCATGACATGGGCTGCCTTCAGTGGTGGTGTACTTCCCCCAACCGGAGGGACCCAAATAAAACTGTTAAACACAGCCAATATGGAGATGGTCAATTGTCCACAAGTGTCTGGACCAGATGTGACCCTTGCGGCCCCTTTCCACCTGAGTCCTTCTGAGCTCCATCACTGGCATAGTCAGTGTCCGCCCCGCCCCCACCTGGGTTCTATGCCAGTCCCCAGCTCCTAGTGGCCACTGGAGGTTGTAGGGGGAGGGGAGCAGGACTAACAGTGGCAAAGGCGGCTCCCCAGGCCAGTCCTGCAGGCCAGCGGGCTTCGCATTGGCTGGAGAGGGACAGCACCTGAAGTCTGGACCACCCGCGTCGCCCCCAGTGCCTGAACCACAGTCTCCCCTTTGCCTTTTGAAACCCCACGCCCTGTCTCTTTCCAGGTTACCTCATTTCTCAAAAGTTCCAGTATTTCTGATTCTGAAAGAATCTGAAAGTGCCCTGGAAACTCAAGACCTCATTGGGAAAACTGAGGTGCTCTGCTGGCCCAAGGAGACTGGGGGCGGGGAGCTTCCTGTCCCCCCAACTAGGTTGGGCATCCCCCCGACTCCAGAACACCTTACTTCATGAAATCTGGAGATTTGGCCATCGCGTGTTCAAACTCTGAGAAAGACAGCATATTGTCGTTGTCCAGATCCGACTCATTCAGGACCTGGACAGGGGTGCAGAAGGAGCCAGAATGCAGGGAATCAGAAAGTGAGATGAGGGTGCAGGGGTGGGGAGCAGGGACCACATGCTGAGTGATACCACAAGCCAGGCTCTCTGCCCGGCGCTTAGCATCCCTAGAGTCCCCTGGAGGCAGGTTCTCCGCTCCCTGCCTGCTCCCCTGCCCCGTCCTGCCCCCGACAAGGACACAGAGGTGCAGAGATGAGGTTATGTGTACTGCTGTCTGGGACCTTGTGGGCTGATCTCATCATGGGCAAGAGTCCTCTTGGTGTCTCCAGCACAAACTTGGCAGTGAGAACAGAGTGGGGGTGATGGGCAGGGTGACGAGCCCCACCCGCTCCTGTCGCCCAGTCACAGACGGGGGTCCGCACTGCAAGGTGCAGAGTTGGGGTGGGAGGCAGCCCGGGGCCCTCATGGTTTTATTTTTGCTCCCAGTTCCCATCCAGACCAAAGAGTTCTCGTGGTCTTAGGACAGATGGGCCCAGGGCTGTCTTCATGTCCTTTGGACTGTCATGTGAGGACATTTGGGCATTGTGTGGTGCTGGTACAGTGTGGGGAAGGGGACGTTGTGATGTGTCCATCTGAGGCTGAGCTGCTGTTGGCCCACCTGCCTGCAGCGGCTACCGTGTTGGTGGGAGGCCCCCTTGGATGGAGGGCTTGGGCTACTGCTCTGGGGACCCAGGAAGGGGGTCATGATCCTGGAGGGAGGACAGAAAATTGGGGGTAGTTGTTTCCAGCAAGTACGCATCCCCCAGAGGCCCTCATCGCCTGCCATCAAGAGGCCTCCGGTGTTGGCCGGACCCACCCTCCTGCCCCGCAGCCTTGGGCACACACATGGCTGGTGAGGTCGGTCAGCAGTTCCTCTGACATGTCGTCGCTGTTGAGCAGCCGGAGGATGATCCTCTGCAAATCCTCCTCGTCAATGAAGCCATTCTCGTTAAAATCTGCCAAGAGGAGGCGGGGCCTCAGAGGGAGGGAGTCCTGGGGCCAGGGCATCATCTGAAAACTGCAGGCTCCCACCAGCCTCTGTTGAGGCCCCGAGGAACCCAGCTCTGCCAGGTGGGCCTAGAATCTGAGACTCAGGGGGACCTGGGCAGGCCTAAGGGTGGGGAGTTGCAACAGCAGAAGGCAGGTTCAGTTCTAGATCTCGTGATGACCATTGAATATGAAACACGCAAACCTTAGGAACTGTGTAATATCCCACATTGAAGAATGACAGCTAGAGCTAACTTGGGCCCAGAGTGGAGGAATGACTTTGCTGGTGTCACGGGGACCCTTCGGGGGTGGAGCCAAGACCTTGGTCTCTGTATTCCAAGGAAGGGTGTGGACATAAAGGTCCAGTAGAGCACCTCGCTCCTTAGGCAGGTGGCTCTCCCCTGGCTGAATGTTAATCAGCCATGGGGGCTGGACGCTAAAGCCAATGATGTTCATCTAAGCGCTCCCCACACGGCTAACAGCGGGTGATGGATCAGAGCTGGTGGGGGAGAGGCAGAGGGGCTTGGGAGGAGCCAGCATCAGAACTGGAGGGAGTGGGGCCCCGCAGTGACCTTGCGCTGCTGGCAAGAAGCCCTGCAGCCTCTCCTGAGACCCTTCCCCCTACCTCCCGCAGTGTTTCCAGGTGGCCTGCTGGCCCAGCTCCCATATGCAGAGACTGCGGCAAAGCAACATGGCTTTGATCCCAAGCCATCTGAAAACAGAATAATTTGCTGGAGTAAAGTGTAGTCCTGGACAGTTCCCTTCCTTTGGGGGTGCCAGGGCAGAACAGCCTGGGAAAGGTCTAGGGGCTGGGAGCTCTGGGCTACCGGCCAGCCCATGTGGCCTCAGAAGTCTCATGACCTGCGTTCTTGGCCACTTTGCGGGGGGACTCTTCTTGCTATTTCCCAGCAAAGAGGGAAAGGAGAGAGCTGGTGGGCTGTTTTCAGGTGTCCCTCAAACTCTCTGACCATCATCATCCCGATCTGTCATGTTACTCCTCGCAATTTACAAAGTACTTTCACAAAATTAGCTCATTTGAGTGAGTGAGGTAAGGCAGGCCTTCACCACTATTCCCACGGGAACTGAGGTTGCCTCCCTCACCACTCCCAGCCACTGGCATCCCCATGTCAGAAGCTAGGAAGGTCTGGGAAGATCAGCCACTGGTGCTATGGCACCTGTCTGAGGGTAATTCATAGCTGGTGGAAGCTGTGCTGACTCCAGCAGAAAAGCAGTGCTGGGATGCTGGTCTCTGACAGGCAGAAAGTCTCCCCAGAGACACTGAGAGAAGAGGATGGATCAGGTGGAGGCCAGAACGGTCCCTCAGAGCAGAGACTGGAGGCCAGGAGGTGTGTCCTGGGTAGGTGTGGCTGGCTGGCTGGATTTGACCAACAGCCATTCACCCTTTCCTTCTTCCTAACAGAATTGCAATTCATGTTTATGTCCAGCTTAAAATACGCAGCCTTCCAGTCCCCCTTGGGGCTATGTGTGACTATGTAACAGTTCTGGCCAATGACATTGTAGCCAGTTTGCTGGGTGGTGCTTCCAAGAAAGTTTGTTAAAGAAGAGTAGACGTCATCTGTGTGTTTCAATGTCCATTTTGTCCTTATCTCCTCTCCCATCTCTTTTTCTCCCTGACTGGGATGAGGAGATACCTGTAGGCACAGAATACATCTTGTGACTCTGAGAATGGTAGTCCCATTAAAGATGGGAGATTAGGAGGCTTGAAGGAGCTCGGGCCCTTGGTTGCCTCCTGGAGCCATTACCTCAGCTCTGGACTGCCTGAATCCAGGATTTCTTTTTTTTTTTTCAAACAAGGATGCTCTTACAAGTAACTGAATGCAGTCCTAACTGATATAGGTCAGAGCAGTAGTAACTCTTCACTTTTTTTTTCCTGCTGCACTTTAGAATCCTTCAGGGAGCTTTCAAAAAGCGTACCAACCAGGGCATACCCAACACCATCACATCAAGTCTCCGCAGCTGGGGCCCAAGCAACCGTAGGTCTTGAAAACTCCCCGAATAATTGCAATGTCGTCCATGCTGTAGTCTATGGGGTCACAGAGAGTCGGACACGACTCAGCGACTGAACAACAGCGATTCCAGTATTGGCCACGTTGGAAAATCAGTGGGTTAGAGCCATGCTTCTGAAACTTTCAGGTGCAGAGGAACCATCTGGGAATCTTGTTTGAAAGTAGATTCTGATTCAGTAAGTGGAGACTGAGGCCTGAGATTCTACATTTCGAGCAAGCTCTCTGGCAATGATGCTGCTGCTGGTATCTAGGCCACAATTGGTGTAATGAGGGGTTAGAACATTGAGTTAGGTCTTCAGACTAGCTAAGGATGATCTCTGAGGCCATCACATCATCATCCTCTCTTCTCTTTTCTTTCTCCTTTTCTTTCCCTTCTTTTTAGTCCTCCTCTTCTTCCTTCATTCCTACCACTACCACCTCAATTTATAGAGCAGCCGTCATGGGCCAGGCACCAGGCTCAGAGATTCACATGTCCTATCTTCAGTCCTGCTGACAGCTCTATAAGGTAGCAAATCTTCTGAGCCCGAAGAGAATTCAGATTTGCCTGAGTCTAGTTGATGAAGCCTTGGAGTTTACGAGTCCCTAGGCATCTATTTGCACCACTGATTTGCATGAAGGCTCTGTGCTTTTTGCTTTTGCACTGGAGCTCAAAAAGGAAGGAAACTGTTTGAGGGGGCCCTGGAGGAGGGTAGAGGGGAGAAGATACAAGGACTGTGTAGGGGACTGGAGTGTCTGCTTCTCGATGTGACCTGAGGACCCTGCCTGACCTCTCAGGAGGGAGGACCTTCCCCCAATTCTTGAGCTGAAGATATTTGAGCTCCCATGTTTTGAGGGAACTCATCTAGTTCCCTGAAGGTTTGGTGGTTTTGTTTGTTTAGCTCTAGAAACAATGGAAAGACAGGTGAGACAGATATCTTTTGGACCATCTGCCCAGCCTACACTACCATCTCTGGGCAGCATCTCAACTCCCAGTGGTTGGCCTCAGAAGCCACGTTTGTTCATGTGACTCTGCTTCTTCTTGGTTGTGGATGACTGGACACACTTGGTCACCTAACCCAAGGGCAGCTGGATCTCTGGTTTCGCGGAGCGAATAAGCATCTCCTGAGAAAATGGAAATGAGAAACAGAGATGCTTGTGGCCCATCAGTCAGAGTGAAGCCCATAGGTCATGTGAAGGCTGGGATAGTCATCTTTGGTCCATAGGCACAGAGGCATAAAAATTTGGATCTGCAGAAAGAGAAGGCGCACAGAGAGAAGCAGAGATAAGAGACTAGGCAGCCACAGAGAGAAAAGGAGAACGGAGCTGCCTGGCTTCCTGACCACTTTCCAGCTGCATTGAGGCCCTCGGGAAGCCTGCTTGACTTTTGCCATGGACTCCACACTGCTTATGGTGGACAAACTCTAGTGCCTTCCTTCCCTCATCATCTGTTCTTCTTGGTGTTCTTGCTTTTGTCTGATCGACACACCCATCTAGTGTGTGTGGGGACTTACATCTAAGCAGCAGGATTTGGCAACAGATGAGACGTCTATAATATAATATGTTATATTGCCAGCAGTCTGGCCCAAGAGGCTCCCTAGCTGTCTTGGAAGAAGCAACTGGCCACTTTGGGAGGCCCATGTACTAGGAGCATAGGTCACCCTCTGGAAACTGAGAGCAGTGTGCAGGCGGTAGCCAACAAAAGGCCAGGGCTCTAACTTCTGTGTTGTTCAGTTGCTTAGACATATCCATAAATTCTGCCAACAACTGGAGTGAACTTGTAAGTGGGTTCCTCCCCTGTCAATCATTCTTCAGGTGAGATTGCAGCCCAGCCAAAACCTTGATTGCAATCTTGTGAAACCCTAAGTTGAGGACCCGACCAAGCTGTGCCCAGACTCCTCACCCACAGAACTTGTGAGATTATGTTTCATCTAAAGCCATTAAGTTTGTGGTAACTTATTACACAGCAGTGGAAAGCTAATACACTGCTGCTCTTCCTCAGTTGCCTTTTACCCAGGTAACTTCCTGTTACTTGCACGGGTAAGACAAGAGCACCTAGTCTGGGTCAGCATTTTCCACCCAAAAGAGCTGGCCCATCCAGAAGAGTACTAACCGGGGACAGGAGAGGCTACAGATAGCACTGCAAGTGCTCTGTGGTGGAAGGAAGGCCCGACAGAAGTATCACAGCTCGTGAACGAGAATTCTGTGGATAGCTTGGAAATCCCTGGGGACTCCCAGGAATACTTGGGGTAAGGAAGGAGGAATAACACTGAATGGACTACTAAGCCAACTGAATTTGGGCCTGTGATTTCATTTGTACTTACCCCGCTTGAGGTTCACTGTAAATTTGTGTCTCACACCAAATTTAGGACATTTGGGGCCATTATTTCTTCAGATATCTTTTCTGCCCTGTTTATTCTCTCCTCTCCTTCTGAGATGTCAGTTGGATATTTGTTAGACCTTCCTATGGTCCTACATGTCCTTCAGGATCTGTTTCTTTTTTCTCATCATATTTTTCCTCTCTGTTCTTCAGATTAGATTATATTCTATTGATCAGTCTTCAGGTTTACTGACTCTTTCCTCTCATCTTGATTCTCGTGCTAAGCCCAACTGGTGAATTTTTATTTCAGATATTTTATTTTTGAGTTCTGTATTTTCCATTTGATCCTTATAGTTTCTATTTTTCTACTGAGAATTTCTATCTTTTCATTCATTAGGAGCCCATTTTCTTTTACATCATTGGGCGTGATTATAATAACTGTTTGAAGATACTTACCAGCTAATCCCAACATCTGGCTCATATCAGAGTCAGTCCTCATTCTTGGGAATGCATCATTTTTTTGTTTAAAAAATACTAAGATATTAAATAATTTTATCCTAGACATTATAAATGTTTTATGTAGAAACTATGGATTCTGTTATATTCCTCCAAAGAGTGATGAATTTTCTATTCTAGTGGGTAACTGGTTAGACTTAAGCTGCAATCCCTATCACTCAGAGACCTTGTTAAAATGCAAAGGCAGCTCAACTCTCCATTCAGTTCTTTCATTCTTACCTGAGCTGCTTTAAGTTCACCCTGGTATATATGGTTTAGAGGTCAGAATGAGATTTGGCTCCTTCTGGCTTTCTTTCATGGACTCTCCCTTCTTTTCACTTTTGAGGGGAAAGGTGTCCTAAACTCTCTGATTTTTCAAGTCAGAAAGAGATCAGGGTTTCTACCAGTCCTGTATGATGCCACTTACTGAAGCTCACCTTCAGGCTGGAAAAGTACAAAACTAAAAGTTGGGGGAGGAGGGTGGAGAGCCATTCATACCTTTTCCTTTTTTCAGGTGTTAACTCTATGCTTTCCGTAGCCATGCAGTGCCATGATTTTTCCGTTTTGTTTAGAGTTTATAGTTGCTTTCCACAGAAGTGACAGTACGGTAGGAGCTTACTCAGCTTTTCTCTGTAAGGAAACTTTTGATTTGATATGCATTTACTGGATACTAAACCTGAAGACATATCAAATACAAAAATATCATTAAGCCCCTTTTACATGAGAGATGAGACACTGAGATTTTATAGGTCCCTCTGGCTTAAAGCCCCTTCACTCCATTCTATCCAAGTCCACTTGGCTGAGGCAGGAATTAGATGGTGTCCGCCATGTGGGGAGTGGGTGGGGGAGCCGGTAGAAAAGGAAGACAGGCGAGATGACGAACTATACAGGCCTAAATGTACGAGTTCTTTGGCCCCAGGGATTGTCAAGATGAGCTTGAAGCCTTGCACGTGATCTGTTTGAAGGCTTTGTTTCTTTCCTTTTGGTTCCTTTTGTGAATTTCCGGGGCCCCAGATATGTTAGGTGTTCATGAGGCTGAAGAGCAGAACTTTAGCAGAGCTTTGTGGCTCCCTGACAAGATCAGAGGCATAAAGTGTCATGGGACCTCAGAGATGATCTCTCTCAACTTGCTCATTTTTAAGATGAGGAAACCGAGGCTCTAAAAAGTAAACCGTTTTGCCCAAGATTTCTCAGCTATTTGGTGGCTAAGATAGTTCCAGTGTTTAAATCTCTTAACTTTTATAGAACAAGCATAACCCCTTCATGCCCATATATAGTCCTCTCTTTCTCTTTCTGGCCTGCCCATGCTACTATATGGAATATCAGCACCAGTGACTCCATTTGCCTCTCTCTGGTGACATGGAAGAGGTCATCAATCCATTAGAGCTGGACTTCTCAACCATTAAAAAAAAAAAAGATCTACAGTACTTGAGAAGTATAATACCCCTCATACTCAAGTAATCCCCAATGAACAGCATCAGACCAATGCATTGATGCTGATGGATTCCAGATATGGTACTCTATGGCCCTTGTCCTACCACTCAATCCCCACAGCACCCACCATAGATGCGGAAGGCGTACTCTATCTTCAGGCTGGGGCAGGCCTGCTCACTGAACACAGACGCCATGCCCAGCACATCCTCAAAGGAGAACACGTTGTTGTGGGAGAACACTCTGCAGATTCGGTCTCTGAAAGGGTTGACCTGTAGGTGAGCAGGAGGAGAAAGAGGCAGGAGGCTTGTCAGTGTCAGGTTCATGCCTCCCAGGGCCTCATTAATCTATTAGAAGCACAGTGTCCTGGGTTTGAGAAGAAAGCAAGAGCAACAACCTAAATACTGGAGTAGATGTTAGGTCAGTGAGCCAGGATCATGGACATGATGGAGGGTACCTAGGATGAAGGACCACACTTAACATCACTCTCCCCACTGTTGTCTTCTGTTGTCTTCTCCTGCAGGTACTTTCCAAAGGCTCATTTTTTGGTTGGTATTCTTTTTTTTATGTTTATTAATTTGTATGTAAAATTTGGAAAATACCACCCATAATATTAAAAATGGGATAAATGTTGTTCCTGATTAACTCTCCATGTTTAACTACTATTAACCTATTGATGTAGAAGTCAGACTGACCCAGGTTTCAGTCCTGGCTTCACTGTTTACTAGTGACCATTTTACATAATCTCCAGAGCCTAAGATTTCTCATCCAAAAGATCGGGTGGGATAATACTACTTAATAGACCTACTTAATAGGTCTGTTGTGAGGATTAAACAGGACAGGTTTAAAGTTGCCTGTGCATGTGTGCTCAGTCGCTTCAGTCATGTCCAACTCTTTGCAGTTTTATGGACTGTAGCCTTCCAGGCTCCTCTGTCCATGGGATTCTTCAGGCAAGAATACTGGAGTGGGTTGCCATGCCCTCCTCCAGGGGATCTTCCTAACCCAGGGATTGAATGCATGTCTCTTACATCTCCTACATTGGCAATAGGTTCTTTACCATTAGCCCCACCTGGAAAACCCTAAAGTTGCACAATAAATAACACTCAACAGATGGTAGCTCTAAGTTGGTATACAACTACTACAAGATATTATTATAAGTTGGTATACAACTGCTACAAGATATTATAATTTGCACAGCAGTTTTGATTTTTAAACCAACTAGTTCTCAAATTTGAGTCCCAAACGAGAAAGTGACATGTGATTTTAGAAACCCTGATTTCTCTAAAGTGGGCCGGGCCAGGGTCATTCATGAGAGGGTTCTTCTGAGCTGGCACCACAAGGTTCTAAGCCATTTCTCAACCAACTCAGTGGCAGCTCATGAAGGCCACCTTGCTGTTCTCTCTTCAGCCCCCAGGAATGGACAGGTGGGATGCGCTGTGGGGATGGGAAGATTTAAGGAGAATTAGAGGCACAGAACAAACTTGGAAATATTTAAAAGTAACATATTCATCTTTGGCATTCTCCTCCTCCTGCTCTCTGTGTCCCTTATCCATCCCCACCTAGTGGGACTCCTTGGCCCACAATTGCTCAGAAATCCAGCCTCTGTCTCCTCTAACCTCACACTATTGCTGGTAGGCCATATCAGATCGCAGCTTTGCTTCTGGTGTCCCAGACTGACCATTGGTCACTCCCTTCTCATCAACCAAAATTCCATTTTCTTAGATGCATCTCAGCTAAGAAAGCTATCTGATTCTGCAAATTCACACAGCAGTTTCTCCATCTTCCAAAGTTTTAATTAGTGGAAACAAACCTTTAGTTGATGTTTCTAGTCCCCTTTGACTGACAAGGTATCTCTTCAAGGCTCCAGGCTTCTTGCAAAAGGAGTAGTTCCAGAGCACACACACCCTAACAGCTCCCTCATTGGAACCCAGCCCAGCCTCAGCCTCTCTGGGCCCATGACCTTGTCTATTACTCTTTGGAGCTGGCCTAGCTTCAGCCAGTGCTTTGCTCTCTGGTTTTAATGTCTCCACTTTGGAGACATTCGTCATGAACATTTTTGTTTTGTTTCTTTTGAACTCAGCTACAATATGAAAATCTATGGTTTAATTCCATTTGGTGTATGCACTTGAGATGGGAGAGAGGACATTCTGAGTCATCTGCCGTGACTGTGTAGATCTCTAGCCTTAATGAGCATACTGGTTATCCGAGGTCCTTCTTGAACACATGAATTGTAACTCCTGCCCTCAGAGATCCTGTTTTAGAAGATCTGAGGTACAACCCAGCATAATGGATTGAATTGCATCTCCTCCAAATTTTATATGTTGAGATTCTAACCCCGGATAGCTCAGAATGTGACCTCATTTGGAAATAGGGCCAATGCAGACGTGGTTAGTTAAGGGCATATTAGCTCTAGGGTAAACCCCAGACTTAACATGAATGTTGTTTTATAAAATGGGAAATCTGGACACAGAGACAGTCAGGGAGAACATCACATAAAGATGAAGGCCAAGATCTGGGTGACACAGGCACAAGTCAAGGAATGCCAAATATTGCCAGAAAACTTCTAGAATCTAGGAGAGAGGGGTGGAAAAGATTCTTCCTCCCCACTCTCAAAAGCAACCAACCTTGCATACACCTTGATCCTCAGGCTTCCAGCCTCCAGATAGTGAGACAACACATTTCTGTCTAATCTACATAGTTGTGATACTTTGTGATGGCAGCCTTAGTAAACCAATACACTGAGAGATCTGCATTGTAAATAAGATTTTCAATTGACAGGATTAATCTCATATATATACTTAAATTTGTTTCAGGAGTGGCCAGAGTCCAGGTGAATCTGGGCTGTGCTGCTAGGTCTTCCAAACTAGCTCCTGTTTCCTCTGTCTATTCACCTCCATGCTCCCTAGAAAGCTTGGTTTGCCTGCCTCAAATGGATCCTGATAAGAGCCATCTAGTGTGATATATTCCAGGTCACATGCACGTAGCTAAGTGGCTTTACAGATTACTTTGCCAAATTGTAACTAAATTAACTCTCACAAATGGATAGGTGGCTTAACAAGATTCCTGCAAGGAAACCACAATTGAAGATAATGCTTACAATGCAGATGCAAGTGAACAAGAAAATGTCAGGTCAGATACCTCTCATACTTAAAATGAGAATTCTTCTCTATGAGGTAGAAACAATGAGAATCCAATCAGATGTAATGGGAGGTCCTATCTCCAGTTCTGTTCTCCTGCACTCAGATCAATAAGCCCACTACCTAAGCATCTATCCAACCATGGGATGAGATACCAACCTTTCCCTGGGGTTGCCCCTATTACTTGGCTTTACTGGGAGTCATGGGGATTGTTGTTGTTCAGTTGCTCAGTTGTGTCCGACTCTCTGAGGCTCCATGAGCTGCAGTACGCCAGGCTTCCCTGTCCTTCACCATCTCCTGGAGCTTGCTCAGACTCAAGTCCATTGAGTCGGTGATGCCATCCAACCATCTCTGTTGTCCTCTTCTCCTGCCTTCAATCTTTTCTAGCATCAGAATCTTTTCTAATGAGTCAATTCTTTGCATGAGGTGGCCAAAGTATTGGAGCTTCAGCTTCAGCATCAGTCCTTCCAATGAATATTCAGGGTTGATTTCCTTTAGGATTGACTGGTTTGATCTCCTTGTAGTCCAAGGGACTCTCAAGAGTCTTCGAAGCATCGATTCTTCAACACTCAGCCTTTTTTATGATCCAACTCTCACACCCATATATGACTACTGGAAAAACCATAGCTTTGACCAGATGGACCTTTGTTGACAAAGTTATGTCTTTGCTTTTCAATATGCTGTCTAGGTTTGTCATAGCTTTTCTTCCAAGGAACAAGCGTCTTCTAATTTCACAGTTGCAATCACCATCTGCAGTGATTTTGGAATCCAAGAAATAAAGTCTGTCACTGTTTCCATTGTTTCCCCATCTATTTGCCATGAAGTGATGGGACTGGATGCCATGATCTTAGCTTTTTGAATGTTGAGTTTTAAGCCAGCTTTTTCACCCTCCTCTTTCACCTTCATCAAGAGGCTCTTTAGTTTCTCTTTGTTTCCTGCTATAAGGGTGATGTCATCTGCATATCTGATGTTATTGACGTTTCCCCTGGCAATCTTGATTTCACATGTGCTTCATCCAGCTCAGCATTTCGCATGATGTGCTCTGCATATAAGTTAAATAAACAGGGTGACCAGTGAACCAGTTCATTGTTCCATGTCTGGTTCTGTTGCTTCTTGACCTGCTTTCAGGTTTCTCAGGAGGCAAGTAAGGTGGTCTGGTATTCCCATCTCTTTTGGAATTTTCCACAGCTTGTTGTGATCCACACAAAGGTTTTAGAATAGTCAATGAAGCAGAAGTAGATGTTTTTCCTGGAATTACTGGGAGTGATGGGGGAGGAAGAATAATTGCCAGGAAGTCAATTCATTCCCCTTTAAACCCGTATCACATGACTATTATCCACCTACACACCCACCCCCACACCTACCCCTACCCCCCCACACACACCTTGTCTCGTAGAGACTGGTAAGATGGCTGTTGGTGTGGTACCTGGTGGTAGCAAGAACAGTACATGAACACAACGTGATGACCACAGATTCTATTGGAAGATGCAGAGGAAATCTTGCTGAAGGTGTACAGAAATATGCATTCGAACAAATTTCACAAAATGTATTAAATAGTTGAAGAAAATGTGGCTGTTTCTAACATGGTGTTCCTAGATTCTGTTTCAATAATGAAACACATGAGGAACCACATTTTTGTAAGCCACTAAAGGGAAGAGGCAATGTGTACTGAACAGTACATTACTTCCTTAATAAAGACATCATTCATGAGAAAATTTGTCTGAGTGTAATCACTGATAGACTGGCTGCTTCCTGATGAAAATGGATTCTGGGTAGGGGTGCAAGGATGATGATACATGTGAAACTACTCCCTGCAGAATTTCCTTCAGGCTACTGTAGTCAAGAGCTCAAATTCAGATATATACAAGTGCTGTGGGATGCATTGGTGTGATCAGTTTTTTTTTAATATAGTAAAACTTATAAAATGATTTATAATCAGAAGGAAAATGACTATGAAAATATTTTGAACCACCCAGAGGCTTGTTGGTTATCTTCTGGCAGTGCACTTAAAATAGTCATCAGAGTTACAGAGGATGTATTCTTGTACAAAAAGACAAGTGTTTGAAATTTGCTGAGCTTTTTCTGAGGACAAGTGGCTGTTGGCAGTTTGCTACCTCGGAGATATCCACAAAAAT